TCCTTCAGTTGCCTTGGACATCTTTTCTTTGTCAATAATGTGTTGCATTATACAACCACGTGTCTCTGTGGATTTTTATTTAACCATCTTAGGACATTTTGTGATCCCAAATCTGAGGGTTCATGTCTTTCACTATTAGATAGTGATAGTTCTCAGCCCTCATCTCTTAATGTTACAGTCAACTTGAGCAGTTATGTGACATACGTCTCTTAGGTTGTCTTGCGTATCTTACAGGGAGGTTTTGGTAAATGCATCTATGTGTATAAAACAGTGAGAACATTCATTTTCCTCTGATGTAAAAGCTTTAATACCTGGCACCCATGCACCAGGTCTGTGATTCGTGATGTCTGTGATGGGCAAGCTACCGCGGTGCTGCCTGCGTAAGCGTCACTGTGCGCGGTAGTGTCCGTGGAATCCTGGACCGATGTGCTAGTTTTGTTTTCCTGGCACACATTAAAATGATTATTAAAATGAAATAATTCATCCATGTGACAGCTGATTAAAATCATCTGTTGTCATCTACATGTACCTGCGACGTCCTGGGATTGGCTGAGGCATAGCTCCCTTTAGAAGAGCAGCCAATGAGGTTGACCTGCGGATAATGGAAGTCACATTTTTCAGCAAAAAAAGTAATATAATTTGATGTGTCTCCTGGAAAGATCATATTAGAGAAAGAGATCATGTTCGAGAATGGAGTACCAAGGCGTTGATTCTGAAAACAAGAAGACGACATGGCAACACAGTGGCACTGGGAAAACGATGAGCGCGGGCGCCAGCTCCGATCGTGCCAGCCTGATGGGGACGGCGCCGGTCATCTCGGGTGCTGCTCAGCCACCACTCATCAGACTTACCGAACGGTGGGCGCAGTGGGGTACAGAAGAGGGCCTTGCGGGGAGATATCATTAACCGGTATCGGTGAACCCCATGGGATGAGCAGGTGTTTTGTATCTGTAAGAGAGACGTATCGGTAAGTCCTTCTTTCGGAAGGGAACTGTTCTTAGCGATTACTGTTATTGTTTCTCTTAGGCAATTTGTTATTTCTTTGGTCCATATTGGAGGTGTTTTCAAACCTGCTGGTTTGGGGCAATAGGGGGAGTCAGATTCAGGGTTTACGTAGCTTAAAGCTTCTGCAATTTTACAGGAGTGGGGAGTGCGGAAGGCTTCATAGAAAAAGAATGTAAAAACATGTTTCTCGTTCAAATTTATAAACACATTTGACCAGGTGCGTGTGTTGCGTCTGCAAGGGCCCTGGCCAGGGTTCATGTGAATGAGCGTCCTTAAGCTGAAGCTGCATTACCTGCGTGGTAAACACAGCCCTGCTGCTGGGAACGAGTAGAAAGGGGGCCAGCCCCCTCCTTTCTCCAGATGCTCAATGTTTTAGAGAATTGCTTCCTAAAGTTAACAAGCACTAAACTCTAAAGAATGATTAAATAGTTCTTTACACAAAGCCACCACTGATAAATCCAAACCATACAGGGTCAGAGGGTAGAAAAACAGGCTTTGCGCTCCTGACCCGTTTCCATGAGCCCCATTCAGGCAGGAAGAGCCCAGGGCTTCCCTGCTCAGATCTTCAGTGTCCCTGGTTGAAAATGTCCACCTGTCCTAAGGGGACTCTGCTTCTTTCTCCCCACAAGCCCTCTCTATTTTAACCCTTTCCCCTCCTGATTGTCTTTAGTTCCTTCCCATTTTCTAGAATGCATCACTTCTTCCTAAAAAAAAAATCAAGTTTTCTCATCTGTGTAGCAAATTGCAAAGCCTTGATGTGTCCTCCCAGGCAAGTCCTTCTTTCTTTGTCTGGATTCTCCTGTTGGCTACAGAGCAGAGCGAGCCTCAGCTCATGGGGGGAGGGGAGGGGAGAGAGTTAAGGCTCCCATTCTGGATGGCAATAGGCTCTTTCCCTGAGTATCTCAAAACTCGTCTTGAAGACGCACACATCTTGTTCCAAAACCTTTCCTAAGGTCCATCAGGAGTGAGTATTTCTACCACTGAAACAACCGGAACAGCACCTGTGCCCCGTCCTTCTGACCGGGCTTACCATTGCAATACCCTCTTCTATTAAACTAACCAGGAAGAGCGCCCTGCCTGAATTCACAGGTGTTTCCATCAGCTCTGGAAATGTGGGAAGGCTTGGCAGGCTGGAGGTGAGAAGGGAATTAATTCACTCTTTGACTAATGTATCTGAGGTGTCCACGGAAACCTGTGGGTACAGCTGTTAGGTAATCAGTTAAAAAATGTGCCTCTCCCAGAAAGAGGTCAGGGTGGCTGATAAGGCTCAGGAGCATCAGCTTGTAAATGCTCTTTTAATCTGAAATAAAGATGCAATTGCCCTTACTTTGAAAAGTGTCCAGAGTGAGAAGGAAACTAGCAGAGAATGGCTGGGAACAAAAACCTGGGGGAACTGGGAAAAAAGAAGAGGAGCCTGCAAAGACTACTGGGGTCAAACCAGGAATTCAGAGATGAAGCAAAGCATGAATAAATGAATCATAGCAAACACATACTATTTACTCTGTACCAATGCTATTTTAGGTATCATACCTGTATTCATTACATCTTACACAGCCCTGTGCGGTAGGCATTATTATCAGCTCCATTATGAAGACGATGAAATGGAGCCAGAGAAAGCTTAAATCATCTCGATTCAGGTCACAGGGCTAGTAAGGTCTGGAGCCAGGATTCACAACCTGACAGTCTGGCTCCAGAGCCTACCTTCTTACCATTTCCCTGTTTGTAGTGCCCCTTAAGAAGCTAAGCAAGGAGACAATTTCAAGAAGAAAACAGTCAGAGGTTTTCTGTACGACAAAGCGGTCAAGTGAAATGAGGACAGAAATGATCCAGAGGGACTGAACAATTATGAGATCGGTGATAGTCTCTTTCTTAACTTTAAAAAGTAATTGAGGTATAACTGACATACCATGTTATATTAGTTTCAGTTGTATGGCATGATTTAATATTTATATACATTGTGGAATGATCACCACCACAAATCTAGTCATATCTGTCATCCTATATAGTTACAGAAAAATGTTTTGTTGTGATGAGAACTTTTTTAAGATCTCTCAGCAACTTTCAAATATGTAACACAGCATTATTAACTATAGTCACCACGCACCAAGACTTACTTTATAACTAGAAGTTCATACCTCTTGACCCTCTTCCCCCATGTTGCCCACCTCCATCCCCTGCCTCTGGCAACTGCCAGTCTGTTCTCTGTATCTATGAGTTTTGTTTTTTTTTTAGATTCTACATGTGAGACCAAATGGTATTTGTCTGTCCTGTCTGATTTATGGTACTTAGCATAATGTCCTTAAAGTCCACCCATGTTGTCACAAATGGCAAGATTTAATTTTTTGTGTGTGTGACTTAATGATATTTCATTGTATAAATATCTTCATTTGCACCCCAGGCTGTTCTGCCCACTCTTAACACCTGACTTTGCCCCCACCACCCAAATCCTAGCTGAGGTCAGGGCCTGGCCTCTGCACCATCAGGGAAGAAAGATCAGATGTTAGATGTGTTGCTTTAAACACTCCCAAGTAGTTTTAAACAACCCAGGGGAAAATGAAGTGCTGGCTGACTTATCTGTAAAATTAGCAAATTCAGATTCAGATGATTACAGACAATCTAGACAATTCAGCTCTGGGCTTGTTTTCTGAATTATCGGGAGAATTAACATAGCAATTAAAAACCCATCAGGAAATCTCATCCTCTTTCATTTTTCTCCATACAGTGGTAGTTTCTCAAGATAAATTACAGCTATTTGCTTCTTTGGGGAGCAAATGTTGAGCCTGTGCTCAAACTGCCCTGTGCTTTCATGGGGCATTGAAGGCTCCTTACAACTAGTGGAGAAAAAACTGGAGAACAGAAGTAAGGACACAACTTTCAACCTTTAAAGGATGAGGAGCTTTTGTGTAAAGCCTTTCTTTACATTTTTTAAATCTTTGAAATGAATCATGATTGATTTATGGCCCAGCCATTTTATTCCCAAAGAACCGAAGCCTTGACTTCTAAATTGACAACAAAACAAAAAAGAAAGTCTTTGAGAAGCCAGTATCCTTTTACATCAGTTATTTCTGTATCTTTCCAGAAATAATTTTGCAAAGGGCTAATGACAGATCTTCAGACTTACAGAGCAAAGCAGTTCACATCATCTCATTTGATTCTACTAACATACTTAGGAATCATGAAGAGGGAAACCAACGGTCGCTCCCGTTTCCAAAGCAGAGAAAGTGGCACAAAGCCCTTTCAGAAATCTGGTCCACAGATCACTGGCTGAACAGGAAACGCTCCCACCGTGTGGTCCCCAGTTCCCTGAGGATACAGGGCTCTGCCCTGCCTCCCGTGGCCTCGTGCGCTGCCCTCCTGCTTTCTGGTCTCCTTCTGTGTTGAAACGCTTGATGCTCTCAGCTGGGGGAATTCCTTCATTAGAAATAGTCTCATCATCCTAGCCTCTTGGAAATGGTTGTGAAATGACTGATCCTTGTTTTGGCGTCCGCTGGGGTATTTCGGAGTTGAGTAGTCCCGACGGTAAGTTAAGGGCAGCCTCCAGGAGGTGGGGACGGTAGAAAAGCAAGCAGGCAAGTCCTGGACCATCAGCATAAATACTTCCAGCAGACATTCTCGGGAACCTGCTACCTGCCGTCTGGAGACATAATGGGACCAAAACAAACAAATCAGTGACAGGAGTGATGCCCTCGAGCTCATCATGACATGTGGGACATACACATGAAAGTAAGCGACAGCCTAAAGTAGCAAGGCTACGTGTAGGGTGACCACATTTTTCCAATGAAAATGAGCTCGTGCAGTCCAAAGGTACTTATGGGGACCGAATGGCATATTGCCAGCCAGCAGTGTGTCGCTGAGACGGAAGAGTGACTTAAGAAGCTGGGCTGGTTGTTAGGCCTTGTGGAGAAGGTGGGGCTTGAGGGCGAAGGCGGGGCGTGCAGAGGCCCCCGGCGCCCGGGGCGCAGGAAGGGGGTGGGGAGGGCGCTCCGCCTGGGCGGGGCTGCGGGCGCAGGAGGCCGCCCGCGATGCCCGCTGGAATAGTGGGCAGAAGTAATTACTAGGAGTGCGTAAGTGCTGGGGGGTGGGGGGAGAGGGCTTTCTGGGTGAGATCTGGCTGTTGAATAGGCTGCCCTTGGATGAGTGAAACTTGGAATGATTTTATTTACCACCACTTTCTAAAAACACATTGTCAATAAGATTTCTTTTCTCCGCCCCTTATGTTACTTTCTGAGCAGGGTCCATAGTTTTGGGGGCAAATTTAGGGCTTTCACTACATCTAAACAAAGTCTGATCCCTCGTCCCGTTTAGAGCTCCTCTCCTGCCGGCAGCTGGGGCCCGGCCTGTGGTGTGGGCAGCAGCCGGGAGCATCCGCATTGGCTCTGCCGCCGCCCGCCCGCGCTCTTGGCTGCCTTGGGGCTGCAGACGGCGGCGAAGGGTGAGAGAGAGAGAGGCAAAGGCTGTTTCTCGCATCTGCCGGTGGTTGTGGTTTTCTTTTGGCTACCTAATCATGGCAGGCACCCAAACGCCAACTGTTCCACAGCGCGCAGCGATGAGGTCCTTGGAACTCCGCGGGCGTCCTGACACGGCCCTGCTCCCCGGCCTGTATCAGCTCCATCCTCTGGTGGGTCACCCACAGCCTCTTGCTGCTGGGATCTTCCCAGCCAGGCAGCCAGTTTTCTTAGAGTATTTTCTCTCTTTCTCTTTTTTTTAAATTGAAGTATCATCGATATATAATATTATGCTGGTTTCAAATACATAACACAGTGGTTCAACATTTACCCATATCATCAAGTCCTTACCCCCTCCAGTGCGGTCCCTGTCCATCGGCAGAGTCAGATGCTACAGAATCAGCTGTATTCTCGTGGAGTACTTTTAAGGCAGTCCTGTCCCAAATACTCACCTGATCTCTGCTTGGTCCACAGGAAACACGGCCCATCCTTAGTGTAGAACTGGGCGACTGCCCGGGGCTCAGCGGACCGCTCCCACCGCTGCCTTGTCTCCTGGCTCTGCCTGTAAGCAACTCCCGCTACTCTCTCCATCCTGAGCTTTCCAGGGGACAGTTAGGCACTAGTCTTTAATTTCATCCTGTATGACCTAATTTCCCGCAGACGTTTTCTCACCAAAATGTTATGTTTCACTGTGGTAGCAGAACTTCCAGCTGGAAAATGGAATACCTATCTCCCTTCTTGCAAAGAGCACCAATCGCCATTGGTGGGTCAACTGGGATACATTGGTTTGGTTTGGAGGTGGAAGGGGAGGCGCGGGACAAGACTTCCTACACACATGAATTCTCTTACTACCAAGAATCTCATTAATGAGTCTCTTCTTCTCTTATAAAGGTTGGAAATGGGGGATGGTAGTGATTGTCCGTAGATCAGTTCGATCCTCTCTTAGTCCTGCATGGATGTGTTTGGCATCTTTCCTAAACAGAAGTGCATTATTTATCACCCATTGTCCACAGCTTGGAGGCTTTGGCTGAAAATCTGAGACAATCTCATCCCACATCCTGTGACGTAGGCAACGTAGTCTGAGGAGGAGGAAGACATGAAGAAGGGGAATACACTTACATTTTTCTGCACAATTTGCCTAGGACTCTAGGGTCTGCCTGAGCCCCTGCAAACAATCTTCAGTGGTGACTTTGGCTTCCTGGCTTGTTTGGACTCTGGCTGCCTGAACTGACCTGGAGCTGGTGCTGACGGGCCCTAATGAGGGAGCTTTGTCTCTTTGTATCGTCGGTAGTGGATTTGCAGCCCCACTAAGTCAGTTTACCTCTTTCCTGTTTTGTATTAGAGATACTTTGTTTTCTATCAGTTCCTGTCTAGTATTCTTTCAAAATGAGCTTAAATATTTAGCACCTAAATCTGGGTGTTATTTTCTCCTCTAAGTTATGTCCCTTAAAGGAAATCCATTTCAAGATGATAATGCCTGTATGCTACCTCCAAAATGACCATTTAGTGTATTCCTCTTTGATATATGCTCTTTGTGCACATTGTGGCAAACCTTTGAGATGTCATGTGGGAAATCCTGGAGCTTATGTTTTTAAAAAATTCTTTATTTGATATTTTCATTACAGCACTAGCCCATGCTTGTACATAACAAGCAGTACTATGGAACAAACATACATAAAAGACAAAGCTAATTACCCCACCTCTGTCCCAATACCATCCATTTACTGTTGCTCCCCTGTTATATCTTGTTAGCACATATACAAATACATATTCAGATATGTTGGGGATTTGTTAATCTGTTATCATATAAATATAACCATGTTCTGTACAGTTCCAGGTTTTTGAGGATTCCATACTGTGTCCTGATTTTCTTTTAAATATTCTCAGTCAAAGCATTTCAACTTACTTTTTTCAATTGACAGTTTATCATAGACTTCTCTGCAAGTTAGGATACATATCTATAACACTATTTTTTAATTTCTTTGTACATAATCTCACTCTCTCTCACACACACATTATTTTACATAGAAGAGTTCATTCTGTGAATACTTGGGAATGTTCATTTTGCTTAGACTTTCCATTTTTTAAATTTATTTGCATCCTCTCCCTCTCTCTTCCCCTTCTCCCCTATTCATCTGCCCTACCCTTTTCTCCTCCAGGGAACTTGTATGAACAACACGATGAATATTTTTTCATGTTTTCCTCCTTTTCTTGTTTGATTTATAAAAATGAAATTATATTTTATACCCTGCTCTCATACTTAGTTTTCTCATGCAATAAAACTTCATTGAAATTGCTTTGTGTTGACTGGCACACACAGTCTTCTTTGTGGCTACATAATATTTCACAGCGTGGAGGCATTTAATATACTCACCTGTGCCTCTCTTAGTGGGTATTCATTTCAGTTCAAATTGTTGTTTTCACTATGAATGATACTGCAATGAACATCATTATACATATACCCTGGGAATTTTATTTCTAGGAAATAGATTCCCACAAGGATTATAGGGTTTAAGACATGTGCATAGTTTTATGTTTAATGAATATTGCCAGATTCTTTTCCAAAAGACTTCACATTACCACCGGAAATTTATGAGAGTAATTCTTTCCCCTAGTTCTAATCAGAAATAGGTGTTATCACCTCTTTAAACTTTTGACCATCTAATGAACAAAGTGAGTACTTTATTGTTATTTTAATTTGCATTTCCCCGACCACTAGTGAGTCTAAGCATCCTTGCATGTATTTTTTGACATTTTGCATTTGCTCTTCTATAAATGCAACATATTCTGCCCTTTTGGGGGCTTTGTGAATATGGTGGTGGTTTCAACCTTAGCAAGTTGTTGTAGTTCTTTCTGTATTGTGAATATTTTCCCTTTTCTTGTCACAAGCACTGTGAATATGTTTTCCTCTTTCATCACTTATTTGTTGAATTTGGATTTGGTATAATTTGCCCTTCAAATGTTTTTAATTTTTTACATTGCCAAATATGTCTTTATGAAAACTGGCATCTGGATCTCCGCTTAGTTGAGAAAGTCTTTCACTCTAAGTTCATATGTTGTCGCCTAGCTATTCTTGTAAGATTTTTATTGTTTTATAATTTATGTGGTATGACACAGAGTATGGCTATGTTTTTTTCCAGATGGATAACCAGTCATGCCAGCACCATATGGTGATAAACTATTCTTTTCTTCCAAATGGAAATACCCCCTTTGTCTTATATTAAATTCACATATGTCCTGGGGTCTGTTTCTGGGTTCTGATATGTCCTATAGACCTGACTGTCTCATCCCAGACCAGAGTCACAGAGAGTTGATCATAGTGGCCTTATGTTTGCCTTCTGCTATCTCCTGAAGCATATTCTCTGTCACCATTCATTTTATATGCCTTTTATGTTCTTGAGCTTTATTCTTCCATATGAGTTCTAAGATATTTTGATACAACATTTCCCCCCCCTTTTTAAAAATCAAATATGGTTAAAATTTTAATTGGAATTGCGTTGACTTTACATCTTCAGTTTGAGAGCTCTGTCATTTAAAAAATGTCTTCCTATCCAAGAACATGGTAAATTGTTCCACTTGTTCAGATCATGTTTTACGTCCTTCGGTAAGATTTTTACTTTTCTTCATTTAGGTCCTATGCCTTTTTAAAAATATGTGGCTACATAGCTCCAATAACAAATGGTATTAATTTCTTTTATATTCAATGCCCTTTGAAATGCTGAAAAAACTCAGAATACAGATCATATATATGTTTTGTTATATACCTAAGAGTTTAATTTTCTTTGGAAATTGTATTGTGTATGTAAAATTGATTGTAAATTATATTGTGTTTCAAATGCCATTGTCCATGTTTTCACTGCTAACATGTAGAAACACATTTGAGATTTTTGGTGTGTACTGGTCTTGTATCTCATGATTTTGTTCAACTCAGTTCTAACTAGGGTTTTTTTTGTCGTTTTTTTGTAGATCCTTTGGGATTCCTATGTAGATAATCATGTTACCTGCAAACAGGGGTAGTTTTATTTCTTCCTTTCTAGTTCGTATGCTTTTTCTTGCACTTTAGCAATGACTAGACCTCCCTGTGCTGTGTTGAATCATAGCAGCAGGAGTGGACATCCTGGCCTTGTTCATAATCGTAGGAGAAAGCATTTAGACTTTCACCATTAAGTATCATTTTAGCCATCTGATTTTGTAGATTATTAGGCTGAGGTAATTCTCCTATATTCCTGTGTTGCTGGGAATTGTTTCTTGTGTGTGTGTTTTTTTTTTAAATCATGAATGGGTGTTGGATTTTGTCAAATTTCTTTTTTTTGTCAATTATGTGGTCATAATGATCATATGGTTTTTCTTCTTTAGCGTGTTAATACAGTGGATTATGCTAATTGATTCCCAAATGTTGAGCTAGCCTTGCATACCTGGAATAAATCCCACTTGGTCATGGTATATAATTTTTTAAATACTATGTTGGATACAACTTGCCAATATATTGTTGAAATTTTTGTGTCTAAGTTCATGAAAGACATTAGTGGGCAGTTTTCTTTTGTGTTATTCTCTTTGGTTTTATATCAAAGTAATACTGGTCTCATAACACTAGTTGGGAAGAACTCCCTCTGTTTCTCTTTTCTGGAAGAGGCTGTGTAAAACTGGTGTTAATTCTTCTTTAAATGTTTGTTAACACTCTCCAGTGAAGCCATCTGGGCCTGGAGATTTATTTGGGGGGTACCTTTAAATTACAAATTCAATCTTCTTAATGATCATATAATGATTCAGTTTGTCTATTTCACCTTGATTGAGTTTTGATAGCTGTGGTTTTTAAATTTTTCTTTTAAGTTGTCAAATTTATGAACATAAAGGTATTTTCTGCAGGATTTATAGTGACATCCTTGATATTCTGTTTTGTGTCATTTCTTTTTATCTTTGTATGTCTTGCTGGAGATGATTGATTGGGTTGATTTTTCTTTTGAAGACCAGCTTTTTTTAAAGTAATTTTTTATTAAGGTATGATTGATATACACTCTTATGAAGGTTTCACATGAAGAAACAATGTGGTTACTACATTTACCCATATTATCAAGTCCCCACCCACACCCCAGTGCAGTCATTGTCCATCAGTGCAGCAAGTTGCCAGAGATCCACTATGTCCCTTCTCTGTGATACAGTGTTTTCCCGGTGATCCCCCACACCATGTGTACTAAACATAATACCCCTCAGTCCCCTTCTCCCTCTCTCCCCACCCCCCCACACCCCTCCCCTTTGGTAACCACTAGGTCATTCTTGGAGTCTCTGGGTCGGCTGCCATTTTGTTCCTTCAGTTTTGCTTCATTGTTATACTCCACAAATGAGGAAAATCATTTGGCACTTGTCTTTCTCTGCCTGGCTTATTTCACTGAGCATAATATCCTCCAGCTCCATCCATGTTGTTGCAAATGGTAGGATTTGTTTTCTTCTTATGGCTGAATAGTATTCCATTGTGTATATGTACCACATCTTCTTTATCCATTCATCTACTGATGGACACTTAGATTGCTTCCATATCTTGGCTATTGTAAATAGTGCTGCGATAAACGTAGGGGTGCATATTCTTTTTGAGTCTGAGAAGTTGTATTCTTTGGGTAAATTTCCAAGGAGTGGGATTCCCTGGTCAAATGGTATTTCTATTTTTAGTTTTTTGAGGAACCTCCATATTGCTTTCCACAGTGGTTGAACGAGCTTACATTCCCACCAGCAGTGTAGGAGGGGTCCCCCTTCTCCGCATTCTCACCGGCGTTTGTTCTTAGTCTTTTGGATGCTGGCCATCCTTACTGGTGTGAGGTGGTATCTCATTGTGGTTTTAATTTGCATTTCCCTGATGCTTAGTGATGTGGAGCATCTTTTCATGTGTCTGTTGGCCGTCTGAATTTCTTCTTTGGAGAACTGTCTCTTCATATCCTCTGCCCATTTTTTTAATCGGGTTACTTGCTTTTTAGGTGTGGGGGCATGTGAGTTCTTTATATATTTTGGATGTTAACCCCTTGTCGGATATGTCATTTATGAATATATTCTCCTATACTATAGGATGCCTTTTTGTT